CTGTGGCTGCATGCAGTTTCTGCAATCTGTTCCAAAGTGTTTTGGGGGCTGCAAYGTTATCCATCAAAGTTTGGACAGAGGTGAAGCTTTTGTGCTCCATATGTCACCATGTTCCTCCTCAGAGTTTCACAGAACTTGTTGAGGCTATGAAAATCAATTGACACGGCTTTATTATTATTTTTTTGTTGTAAGACTTTTATACCCATTCCTAAACAGGAGGAAGAATATTAAGTCATAGACACATGCATTGAGACAGGTTAATCACACAGATGTCCAGAGGTGCAGGGAACACACAGACAAAAGAAAACAAAAGGGTGCAAAACATTTGTAAAATYTGACACACGAAGCGAACATACTGCTGTGAGAATTCAGCAAAAAACAGAGAAAACTGTCTCTCCTACTTGGCTGTCATGAATGTAGGTCTGCCAAACTGAACAGCATACAAAAAACAAACAAAMAAACAAAAAGCACTGGAAGTATTACATAAGTTTGGATTTCTTTGTGAATTGAACCTTCAGTCGGCGGTGCACGGGCGGCACTTTAAATTGCATCAGTTCCTCTGATGTAAATGCATATAGCCTTCAACTCCCTGCGAGGTTTCAGTTATTTATTTTGATTAGGGCTGTTTTTACACGATAAGTCTCTTAAGTAAGTCGCCCGGGAGGATGGGCTGGCAAGGATGGTGGCTGTGGTGGAGACAAAACGAAGTCTGTTTGATGATTATAAATTCAGAAATCTCTGCTTGTCAGTTAATTAGCCGCTTCCTGGGTAACGCGTGTCTCATTTTTTTTAAATATATTTTTTGCTGGGCCCGGCTCTCGATGGACAAATACCCGCGGTGCGCTCATTGTGTGTCTAAGCAGTTATTCAGTCTCTGGCAGCTGGGGGGAACAGAGAATAAAGATCCTTCAAAGGCAGATGGGTTTTCAAGAGCAAGCCTCTTTTTACGTGTGTGTGTGCCAGCTGATTTCTTTGAGCACCAGCTTTGGCTGCTGGAAGGGTTTGCGCCGCTGGTTTCTTGTTCCTTGTTCCACAAATGAGACATGGACAGAGAAATGCTTCCTTTATATCCGCCTGTTGTAGTTCAACAGTACGAGGAAGAGGAGTTGTCTTGTTGAGGCTGTTGTGTTCAGACGGGCCTTGGACAAACGGTCACAAGGAAACTTCAGGTGTTTGTAGCTCCACAGCTGTTGGGTTGGTTGTCATCTTAACCTGGATATTGTTGTTTAACATGAATAAACGTTAAAGCCAACTTGTGTCATGGGTAGCTCTGTTAGTTGTGTAGTCTGAGCCGGTGTTGTGAGGTACAACAATACAAAGTGTGAGCTGAAAGGGGAAATGTATGTGATATTTTTTTCTGTTGTCCTGTCAGCCAAATATCTCTTGAACCTGTAGACAGATTTCTGTGAAACTCAGAAAGTAATCATTACATATACGCCTATATCTTTTTTTTTAGAATTCTTTATTTAAAACAGGGACAATGTGCAAATAAAACATTACAAAGATGCTTTGCACCAGATTTAGCTTACGCTAATTTCCATCTGTAGTCCCAGAACAATAAAAAACAAWCTAAAATCAAGACAAAGAACAATAATCCATAAAATTTGTAGACACAATTACTGCATAAAGTCATGAAGACCATAGCAATCAATTCTAATTACAATCTCTATACACAATCATAAAATACATAATCAAAAACAGTTCTGCATGTTAAACATCTGTTCATTAATCACTGATACAAGGATTACAATTAAAATATTTCAGTGCAGACATTGCTGGTTTTCCAATAGCACTTTCTTAACGTTATAAGTAAAATCCTTCAGGTCAATAGAAAGTTTAAGATTTACAGGAAGCTTATTCCATTCTGTGATGCCTTTAAATAAAAAAGCTGTCTGTGCAAATACTGAGCTACACTTGGGTTTTCTACAATCCTTACAATTCACTGACCTGGTGTTCCTAGTTGTAAGTTCAGAACAGAGTTTGACAAAATGTTTTAGTGGCAGAGGAGCAGTGTTATATCTGATTACCTTTTAGAGTCAACTGTATTAGAGATGACCGCCACGAACAATTAATCTTAGCGAACACAAAAATGGACACAACTCCATCAGCTTTTTGGCTATGGAGCTAAAATGTAGTGTGTTGGAAACAGTACGTCAACCTCAACACTTAACATACTTATTCATGTATAATACAATCTCAAGTATAATACGATCATAATTTCTTGAGCGAAAAAAGCAAAAGCATTAAAAATCGAATTATCAATAACCCGTATATAATAC